GCTTAAATTGGAAAACTTACTGCGATGATCATTCTTCACTTTCATCTATAACCGCAGTTCATATATGAATTATTTCATATAAACTTCACATCATTATTATTATTATTATTATTATTACTAATGTGCATATTTCTGTTTTAAGTGTAAACACGACTACACAAGCAAACATCTTGCTTTAATTTAAACTAAATCGTGTGAAAATAAAGGATTGTTGTTGTTGTTGTTGTTGTTGTTGTTATATATTTAGCTCTTATTAACCGAGCAGGAGGTCTGAATGGTAGAAACTTGACCGAGGTCGTGAGTATTGAGTGAACGCAGTCAAGATTCTCCCATACTGACCGATTAAGCTCGGTTAATAAGATGTTTATTATATGGCAAACAAGAACAATTTAATTCGTTTAGATGTAACCGGTTTGTACTAACTGACGTTTTGCTTGCGAACGGCGATGAGGCGAACTTAATCCTGCCAAAGTGTGCTCTTTACTTTTTTCTCATCAGGCTTTTTGGCTCTTCCATAGATAAACATTGTTAGAAGAAAATAGTCAATATTTTTACAGTTTAGTTTGCAACTTTTTCACTCCAAAATGTAACCGGTCTAGATGCCGGTCTATATGGGAAAATCTAGACCGCTTTCAATACCGATTTCAGCCAATCAAATTCGTGACTTCGCTAGTTCCCAGTCCTTGTGAGACACAGCCATATAATAAATGTCTATGTATACCGAAAACAAGACATATAAAATTGTAGATAGGGTTTTAAAACAACTTAATGCGTCTCACACGTATGATTCGTCTAGAAGAAAACGAGCGGTATAAAACAGATGAAGGCGTCTGAACTGTAAATTCGCTGAACTAAAATTTGTAATCAAGCTCTCTCACAATAGATTTTTTCAACAACACGGGATTTGTGTAACTGCTGAGAATAAGGTTATTTCACCTGTCTTGCAGTGTCTTCCTGTGTAGCCGGGAACACAATCACATTGGTATTTGTCTTCACTGTAATTGGGAACACACTTTGCACCGTTTTGACAAGGTGAGCTCGAGCATCCTGTCTGTAAATAAAATTATAGTTGTCAATATTTTTATTCCTTTTTGAACAAAATTTGACAAATATCAGTATAAGAACAAAGAAAAAAAAACCCCGAAAAATTTGTATTTGTATGCTAGACTATCTATAGTACAACTTATTTATGTTTGTTCTTCTTACCCACAAAATAAGATTCTCTTTGTGTGCACACCATGCCTGCCAGTTAGCCCTTCTATTTTAAACCTCACAGGAATCCATCGCCACCGTTAGATTTCACAAATTGACTGAGCGCTAGCCTTTGTCTCAAATTGAAATTAACTATGTATAATTTATTACGTTTAGACGATCACCTGTGGTGTTACTCAGTTGCCGACCGACTCGTAACAAGTAAAAAAGTCATCATACCGAAGTTCAGTTTTACAGCGGCCGTGAACGTCATGCAGAGAAACCAACCCAACCAAGAAAAAAAGCAATTTCTTTTTCATTTCTGTCCTAACCTAATGAAAGTGAACTTGAAGTACCCAACTAATATTTTTGACGCATCTTAAGTAAAACTCGACTAAGTGGTCTGAACCTTAAAGCTTGCAATGAATTTGTTTCAATTATTAAACGTCTGGCTCAGTTGAACGAGTTGTGAACAACTTTGGAGATATTTTATCGCGTTTTATTAACGCAGCAGAACACTCCAAATCCTTCTAACCGTTTTACGAATGACCATGGACAACTCATGCATGACCTTCCTCAAAGCGAGACAAGATAAGACGGTTAAATGATATAAAGGAACATGTATGTTCATAAAGTTTTAACACGTCAGTTTAAATTTGGGATCTAAACCTAAATCAAATAACCGACGATCGGTGATCGGGAATTCATGAAGCTTGTTCCTGAAACTTTTTTAAAAACGGCTATTTGCTAACTACCAGTACAGAATCTTTTTTTCATAAAACCTTCATTTTGCAACCATTAAAATGAGCCTATTAAAGTAGTTAATCCTGCGATATCGCCTGCACTTCATTAATTTACAGAATGGATTTTGAACTAAAAGATTGTTAAAAAGGATCACTAAGATTTTTGCAATACCTTGATGCTGTAATGGTGGTAATCCTGTGAGCTGACCAGCTGGCCTGAGTTTGACGAGTACTTGTCTTCGTTTAACAACTGACATCGGTATTTTCCGTCTGAACGAGGAGATGAGGCCACATTAAACGAAGAACATGGCGGAATGTTGACACAGCTCAGAGCGCACTCAGTGTAGTTGGACACCACAGTCGATGACCCAACTGATACTTGAAGACGGTGAAACTTGTCAACCGCAAAGTTGCCGTAAGATATTTGATTTCCCCCGCGTACATTAACTCTGCCCTTCAAACCATGGCTGCCGTCAAGATGGCTTTGGAATGCTTTTGGAAGAGTTATCAAAAGAAGGGTAGACCACAAAATAACACACGGTGGCATTTCAAGGTACTAGCACTCGAGGTTCTTGTTGTGATACTGCATAAATAAGCATGCATTTCTGTATCACGTGACTTATCGTTAATTGTTATGTAATCAGGCTGGTGGTCTTTGCTCGCCGCCATTAAAGTTTTTGAGTTGTGTTTATGCTCAGTGTCCTTACGTTGATCGTAACATGGTGTCACATAGCGGGATTTAGACCAAATTATCAAGGATCTCTTCTCAGCCTGGGAGAGAGTTTGCAAGGTGGCACTTTCAACACATCACTCTCGGCCTCTCCGTGGAATCCCCAAAGTAACGGAAAGGTTGAGAGTGCTGTAAATATCTGTGAAAATATCACGAGGAAGACAGTTTGTGGAAAGTTTGACTATTATCTCGCCCTCGTAGACTATCGCAACACGCCCACGGAAATTGGTTCATCCCCAGTGCAAAGGCCGTTCAGCAGGAGAAAACGTAACTTGTTATCGCTGTCAAGTAAACAACTAGATCCTAAGACACTTCCCTAACAGGATGTGCAAGAAAAGCTGATCAACTCTAAGCAAAGGCAGGCTTCTACTACAAACTGAAAGGTACAACATTACCTGAGTTGCAACCTGGACAGACTGTGGGGATGAAGAGGCCACAAGAATCTACCTGGTCAGAAGGTGTTTGCAAGAATATGATTGGCCCACGTTCTTATATGGTTGTATCGGTGGTCGTACCTACCGAAGAAGTCGCCGTCAGCTGCGAATGGTGCGGCAATCAGATTCTCTGCCTGTTGTGAAACAAGCAGCTGAACTGCCGCGGTCAGATTTCCACTCTGTTGCAAAACCAGCAACTGAGCCCCTGCAATCAGTGCCACAAACAGACCTCCCAGCTGTTGTGAAACCTGCTGCCGAACATGTGGAAGTTGCGTCCTCGCCTACTGTTACAAGGAGTTGTCGTATTGTCAAACCACTAGCCCGTTTTCAGGACTTTGCGACTTAGACTGTATACTTTGTTAGAAACTCTATTTTGAACGTTGTTGTTGCTAAGGAAGTCAGTCGCAATATGCAAACAGTTAAGACACTTTCTTTAGAAAGGGGAAGATGTTGTGATACTGCATAAATTAGCACTGAAGTTGTTGAGTTGTGTTTAAGCTTGGTGTCCTTACGTTGATCGTAACAGTTCTCTTCCATTTTTCTCACGACACCTTGCACACGTGGCTTTACATAAAAACGACGTGATTGGAAGACAAAAGCTAAGTATATTTTCTACGAACCTCCTGCTCGCGGTTTGATGTGTTTAATTGTTTAACCGTACATGTCTCATTTTGCTGCTGAACTATTTTCAATTTTAATTATTAAGCTGAACAAAATTCCATGAATGTGATTGGTTAGAAGAAAGCCTGATATTTCAGAACAAATTGGACGGTATATGTAATGTACGTTTCGATAGAGTGATTAGGAATATGAGTACCCAGTGTGCGCTACGATTCATAATTCATAGTTTTGAAGACCCCTTTGGGGAACTTTAGCAAGGGGCATTTTTTACCAAAGTATTTGTTGCCTTATTCCCTCTAATCTCAAGAAGCGAAAGGTTTTTTAAAAGCCCATTTATGCTATATTTTTTATTTAAAGTGTTTAATTACATAAATTGCATTAATATATTGTATGTGTAACGGAAAATAGGTAAATTAGATTCTAGTTTTTTTGGAAGGACTCTATCATTTGGATTAACCGTTTGAAAGTGTTATGAGAGTAGTGACATGGTTAGCTTATTACTGTGCAAAATGTGTATATTCGTTGGTTTAAGTGGTAAAAAAAGACGTCTTAAATTATTGCATTATTCTTAGCTTGGAAAATTATATTAACAGCAGTGTGAAACCTAACATACAGTAATTCAAAGTCGAGTTAATTCGAAAGTCGAAAGTATGTCACTGAAATATTGAGTTAATTGAAAGAATAATGCCCTAACTAAAGTTAATAGGAACTGAATTTAACTGCCTTGTTCTTACTAGAAAACCTCGATAAAAAATGCTTTCAGTGTGGTAGCTACATATTGCAATTGCAACTTCGTCACAGTGGAATCACGTGAAGTATAAGAGAACGAAACCTGCATTAATAAAAGGTTTTTGAGGAGAAGTAAAGGTAAAGTCTGCTGACGAGCCAAGGGCCCATCAGGCCGGCGCTTATCTCCGGTTTCTATGAAGCATGAAGCAACTAGGAATATTTCTTCTCCCCCTGTAGGATTGGATGTTGGTCTGTTGCAGAGTTACCCCCTAAATCGCATGTATCATTTTTTATACACCTGCGTGAAGAGAGGAAACGTGTCTTTTCCAAGAACAGAACGCGATGTCCCCAGCCCGGCCAGGGGCCCGTTTCTCGAAGGTCCCAAAAAGTTTTCGCACCCGAAAAGCCGTAGCAAAATCTCAAACCTGATGACTTCAGAGCTATTAATATCAACAGAGGTTGTATTCATACAAGAATTTTCCGGCGTGCACACCTCTCTGCCTTTAAATACCGATTAACTAAAAATGGCTTTGCGGGCCCAAAAAGTTTCCGGAGCTTTCGAGAAACGGGCTCCGGGACAGTTGAGTCTTTCTCCCCTGCTGAATCCTGATTGGTCAATTCGAGCGTACTATCATGAGGCCACAGCGCCTCCCACTAAAACGCTTCACTAAAATACAGAAAAAAATTGAACTATGGTGTTCATAGGGATTGGTCAGAGACTGTTACATTTCTGTCGCCAGTTCCAGCTCACTGTACCAAGATATATCCTATGGCTGTTTGATCTTGGTTTCCACACGTGCTAGCATCGTTATGTCGCCCTCCTGTTCCAAATCCAATTCTGGAGTCAGAAGTTACGCAGTCATTTTCGTTGTTTCCAATGATGCCGATTCGAGTTTTACCCATCGAAGTGTCATCGCTGAGTATGTTGAAACCCTCCCTGTTACATCCGGATTGTAAGGAGGCATATGAACCCATCAGTGAGATCCATGTGTCGCGGCCCAGTGAGGTAAGGCGTCAGTTGGCCATCAGCGATCAGTGAGTGCAGAGAACTAGCCTGCTTGCTCATGGCAACGAATTTGATCTGTTGGCCGATCTTCATACCGAGACAGATCTTTGAGAAGGGTGTGTTCCAGTAGGTCGGTAACTTGGCCTCTTGAGTGTCAAACCCAGTCTCCCATGCCGGTGCGTTGTAGGAGTTTGTATCGCTCAAGTATGCTGAGTTGTAATGAAAGGTACTCTGAGAAACAGCAGACCAAAAGATCATTAAAAAGTATATATTTCATATTAGCAAAGGGAGAGTGGAACCCACAGGGGGAAGCGACAGAGACGGAGATCCCATTACAGAGATTACACCTGGAGGCGCAAAAGAATGGCAGAGTTAGAGGAGAAACAGCTCACGTTGCTGGAGGTGAAACTTCTAAGGGAAATGGAAAAAAAGAATCAGTTTTATAAATATTATACCTTGCTTCCATCCATTTTCATGACTGGCGTCCATCCCCCATCTCCACATCCAAAGTCTCCCATATGACAGTAAATTGTAGTCATTGTTGAACCAAGGAAAAGCGTAACCAGCTGATCTTGGTTTGATCTGTAATTCCAGACAGAGATCGCGCAAAAAATTACTTCAAAAAGGGTTCCGGGTTTACAGAATTCGAACTCTGTGAAGGTTTTCGCCCAGTCTGTGAGGTCAAACTAATGTCTGTGGAATATGTCTAGCCTGCGTGACCATTCAAATCGAATGCAAGTTACTACGGTCTACTGTGCATGACCGTCTCCAAATTCGTATTCATGGTGCTTCTTTGTAAACTCTTTATGTATGTGTTGTAAATATGTTTCACGAAAGAAAATTTAACTTGTCCAGAAGTCTCTATCTACATTTCGTGTCAACCCCCCAAATCGTAAACCTCAAAAAAGTTACAAATGAAAAAACATTCTATCTCAAGAATCCTCCGAGAAAGAGTTTTGTAACTTCTCGGCTCTATTTTACGAGAGTAGTCCCCCCTAGAATGTAAATCAAAGGGACTATGAGCCACTCAACTTGGAAAATGGATCGTCTGTAAACAGTGACAAGTTTGATGCCTCTGATTTGAGGTTTCAATCAGCAGGTTAAGTTAAAGTGAAAGCCCACTGACAAAACGCAACGGTAAGGGAATACACGAGGAGATGGAACACCGTCGAAAACATTCATGAAGTTATTCGAGATCCGCGTCCGAGACAATTATAAAGAAAGTACGGCTTCTTGTCCGAACAGAAAAGCAATGATAATGGCATTCTCATTTTCATTCTTACTTTCTTCGTTCATGATTTTTTTTATTTCTTTGTTACCTTTTGAGAGATCTTAGAAGTATTAATAAAAAAATATCCAACGTAGAATCAAAATACACAAGAACAGCACCGCGACTCGTCCGCTTAACAAAGTTAAGCCCTGTTCGGCTTAGATGGGTTACCAAATACGAATATCCTGTGTTGTAATAACTTATTTTTTCTCATATATATTCTTATATTCAAGGCGATATTAGTGACTGTAGAACTCCCAGCCTTGTATAGTGCCTTTTCTTCTATTTATCAACTATTTGTTCTTATCATTTTGTCATGTCCATGTTCATCTTTGAAGTATTTATTTACAATACTGTATAAATAACAGCGAAACGCGTCGTTCGAATTCTCCTCAATCCTCTTGTCTGTTGATCGTTCAAAACTTTTAATCACGGCTTGAATCATAATTCGAAACTTCATACAGCTCATCAATTTTGTGATTTTCAATATCTCCTCAGTTTTTGGCAATCGAGTACGGTTAAACCTGTATCAGCGGACACCTTCGGGAATATATAATTAGCTTCTACATATAAAAACGTTAGTGCGAAAATCTATTCAATGTAGATCATTTCTGCGGTAAGATATCGAGCACTTGCGTCAGAAATTCAAAGAATAACTAACTTGACGCGGTGCAATCGACCTTGGACAGCGCGATGTTCGAAACCCGGTGTATGTGGGGGGAGAAGGGCCGGGGGGAAGTCCTATATGAAAAGGTCGGGGATGCTGTCTCGGGTACAAATCAGGGATTCTGGTCTCACTTAGAGTATTGATGACGAAACGTCACCAATCTAAGCGGTCGAAGAAATAACAATAGGAGAAACGCTCTCATCTGTTTTCCGTTGAACTCTCGAGAAGGGTCTACAAGTGCGTGCGGGATCTTTTCTTGAACAGCGGCTGGTAATCAAACCTATTCGTTTTAAGTGGTATCTTTTAGGGGTCTAATGAAGCTCGAGCAACGCCCACATTAGTCTTCTTTAGGAGTCAAGTTCAATTTTTTTTCCGACGAGCATCCCTGACCTCCTCATGTGGGAGTTCCCTCCGGGTTCCAAATTTCTAACAGGACAGTGACCCAGTGAAGGAGTGATGGAGTGATGGAGTGAAGGAGTGATGGTGTGAAGGAGTGAAATCGTCCCATCACTACAACTTGGAAAATATAAATCAGTTTTCCAAGATAAAAATAAACGTTCATGACTCCGTTGGCCAAAAACGTCGGAAGACTAGCTGAGGCTGAAATGTCACAAGAATTGATTATTTTCTCGGACTCAATAGAGGTCTCTTAGAGTGACATGTTATAGAATCTACATTTTATTAACGGTGACTTACTTCGATATGTCATGTACGTCCTGACATGACTTCAGCACTGAAAGAGATAAAGGCTTTGTTAAAAGTGATATATAGGCTGGCAGTGTTTTATCACTTAAAAGTACTGTCAGTCTATTATACTGCAAGAGATGGTGTTTCTTTGTAGGTAAATTAAAGATACATAACAGTCGAAGGAAGGGGACATACATGTATCTGCTATAATAATATAGAAGCAACAATTTCTGCAGTTTGATTGGCCGAGAACATGTCAATTAATCCCAAATCAGTGATCAGTGCAATTTCACCAGTGCAAAAAAGTGAAAAATTAAATGTATGTCTATCTTCTGTTACTAAGTGTGCAACCTTGAGCAGAACTGGGACTAATTTTATTTAGCATACTTTTGGCAGTTACAGAGATATCCATAAAGTTGGTCAATACACGTCGCTCCGTTTAAACAGGGATTACTGGAGCATTCGTTGATATCTAAGGTGTGTTTTAAGTTGTACAGAACTTTTAGAGATTCTTCATTTATAGGCAGTGTATAACTGGAGTGAATTTTTTGACGCTTTTCGATCGTGTCCAATTGGACAATCAATAGAATAAGTCGAAATGTGAATTGAGGCAAACCGCGTCATTGACACGACCTTTCGGAGACAACACAAAAGCCGCGGTTCACTCAACGAAGAACTTTCTTTTTCACGTGCCAGTTATATATTTACTGAGCATATTGTGCGATCATGAAGTTGACAGCTCTTGACACAGTTTAAAAAATATTTCTTTTTTCCCGTTTCGCAGATTCTAAAGAGCTGAATTAAGTTCCCAGTGCAAGCCACCGCAGTTTAAAAGTCGATTTAATACGTTTTCAGAAGTTTAAACTGAAACTGAACCTCATCTCACCTGTTTCGCAATATCTTCCATTGTAGCCAGGAGTGCAGTTACAGTAATATTGATTTCACCGTAATTGGGAACGCACTTTGCACCGTTTTGACACGGAAAACTTGAGCATGGTGTCTGTAGGAAAAATTTTAAGTTAATCGATTTCGAAAGCAGGAAATAAAAATAAATAACTAAATTCAAAACAAATATGAGTTATGAGATACACGAAATTTGTAAATAAGGTTCATGAATTTTGAGAGCCACGATGTCATTAGCCTTGGATGTTTAAGTTAACTGTATTGTATCATTTAACAATGTTGGCCTGCATGGGGCCCATTTCTCGAGGGTCCCGAAAAGTTTTCGCACCCGGAAAGTCGTAGCAAAATCTCAAACCTTAGATTACAGAGCTGTTTTATTTAAATATTCTTAATATAAGCAGAGGTTCCATTCCGTACAAGAAGTTTTAGGCGTATACACCACTCTGTCTTTAAATACCGATTAACTAAAACTGGCTTTTCGGGCCCGAAAAGCCTCCGGGGAGTTTCGAGAAACAGGCCTCTGGTCTCGTAAGTTAGTAATAATAATAAACTTCACGCATATCAAGAAAGATTAGTACAATTTAGTAACATTTCAGTGTGGAGCTAATGGACCTAATGCAGTTCGTAACGCCTCATTTCTGCAAAAACTACAAGATGCATTTTTTTTTGTTTGCCAATGGAAGAGACATTTATCAATTTGAACTAATTAAATTTGTCGGGGTCGGTTGTTTTAACGTTGTGGGGGACCTACCGGGTCGGCCAAATAAATCGCCGCGAAGTACAATTTCAGTCATGCTCGTTTTCAGTACTTATTATTAGTATATGTATTCAAAACAAAAACTAACTGCGGTAACGCGTACTTTCCTAATAATCTTTCAAAGAGAACTTGGGATTTTTTAGCTTAGCTCTCGTTGGGGAAACAAGATGATCTTAATACCTTGATGCTGTAATGATGGTATTCTTGCGAGATGACAAGCTGGCCTGGGTTCGCAGAATACTTGTCTTTGTTTAACAATTCGCACTGGTATTTGCCGTCTGCACGAACTGGAGTCGCAGCGACATTGAACGAAGAACACGGCGGAGTGTTAACACAGCTCAGAGCACATTCTCTGTAATTGCTCACAACATAAGATGAACCAACTGATACTTCAAGGCGATGAAACTTGTCCACTGCAAAATTGCCGTACTAAGCTCGATTTCCCTGCATATGAACACCTCGCTTTAAACCAAGGTTACTGTCAAGTTGGCTTTGTTCGGCCAGTGGAGGAATTACGAGAAATAAGGCCAAGTAGGACAAATATGGCTGCATTTTTACCCCACTCTCAGGTCAGGAAAATGTTCTCCTCTGTAATGCAAGGTGTATCGACGGAAGGCCAAAATAGTTCCTTTGGAATATTAACTGAATTGGAAGACTACTCCATCACAGTCTACAAATATATAAGGAAGCACCTGCGCATTTAAATAATTTCAGTATTCACCGCCAATCAATGCTACAAACAACAATTTCGTTCCTGATTGGTTATAATGAGACCCTGTTTCCACTTGCATTGCTTACAAAATGGAAACCAAAAAGTGTCCATCAATGAACGTTAAAGTGGGTCGAAGAAGGTATATTACAAACCATATGCTGGCCGAATATAAACAACGTTTGAAGTAATCGAAATATGATAACATTCAAAGTAAAAATCCTTTTAGCCAATCACAATAAACTTAAGTAAAATTTTGACACTGATAAATTAAGCTAACTAATTAAATGTTTGCCTCTGTAGTGATTAAAAAAACGTCACGAGTGATTATACCTGTGATTGTAATAACAGATATATGAGTGAAAGTTATGAGACCGAAAAAAATATGTGTAAAGTTCCCTTTCGATTCACATTGCTAGAGAAATCCGGCCCGCTTACAACGAGAGCTGAAGCTTCCAGCATGCAAATTTAACTTTGATACGATGGCAAAAATGTTGCAATATGTCGTGAATTTCGTTATATCTTTGTTGTTTATTGTACGTGATCAGCATACAATACCATCTGACAATTAAAAATACAAAAATAACATCTGAAATGACAACTTACTAGTTGGACAATGGACTCGCTGACATCCAATATCGGAGACCAGGGGTAGTAAGTGGGGGCGAGAGAAAGTGAAATCGCAAAGTTACACGTGTAAAATTACGATAATTTTTCACTGTGTTGATATCAATGACATTATATTGATGTCATGTTTGACTCTTAAACTGTACTTAACGTAGTTGGCGTATGATCGGAACATATTTGGATCTTCCAAGGAAGTCTTCGGGAAACTTCGGCTATTTTCGGAAAATGTTTCGGAAAATGTTCGAAAACGTTCGTGTGGCCCTGTAAACCACCCTTTCGCTGCTACATGTAATATTAGATGGTAGAAAGAGCCTTAACGAACCTCGTCTATCAAGGCTTAACCCGGCTACTGTAACTCAAGATACAAAAGGTGAACGCGTAAATGATCTAACTGTATGTATAGCATAAATTACATAGCCGCTTACAGAACATAAGCGTACATATAAAGAATGTTTGCAAATTAGCAAATTATGAACTTAAATTAAGGTATGTCCGCCATTTTGGATAATTAAATCGAGCCGGTGTCAGAAACGCGTTTGTCCAGGTGGGTATGAGTGCTACCTCATTGGCTCACAGCCAAGCCTTTTGTTCTTTTGCTTTATAACTGCGACACCACCCGGATGGTTGGACGGCTCCACCGCAAAAAGCACATCTCTCTTAATCTCTCTTAAAACAATGCCCCCAGGATAATTATATAATCAACTATTCTTCCTCGACTGCCCCACTAAATATCCCCCCAAAACCCTCACAGCCTGTATTTCATTAATTCCCTACATATACCTACACAGCCTAAATCTCATTAATCTCGCACATCTTATATCTCATTAATACACCACATATAGCTACACAGCCTAAATTAAATCCCCCACATAATTACCTACACAGCCTACATCTTATTAATGCCCCACATATATCTACACAGCCTACATCTCATTAATCCCCCACATATACCTACATACCATACATCTTATTAATCCCCCACATATACCTACACAGCCTACATCTCATTAATATAATCCCCCACATATACCTACATAGCCAATATCTCATTGATCCCCCACATATACCTACGTACCAAACATCTTATTAATTCCCCACATATACCTACACAACCTATATCTCATTAATTCCCCAACATATACCTACGCACCATACATCTCATTAATCCCCCATATATACCTGCACAGCCTATATCTCATTAATCCCCCACATATAACTACGCAGCCTATATCTCATTAACCCCCCACATATACCTACACAGCCTATATCTCATTAATCCCCCACATATACCTACACAGCCCCGCCATACAGGGTGGCTTTGGGGATTCGCACGTCGTTCACTCAGGCAGCGCTGGGACATGCTGGGGGTGCCTGCCTGACCGAGGAGATTCTTGTTTGGTACACGATCTGATACCCAGAATCCTCCTGAGGTTGTGCAGATGAAAGGTGCTGACCCTATGTTCTTGGTCGGGAAAGAGAGTCTCTTATATAATTACTCAGGCTCAGTACACCTGCATCTTGGTGTTGATGGTCAGCATGGGGTTGACCCAGACTCTCATTGCCAGGCGGGCCATGGTCATTACTGCTTATCAGTTCCGCTTGCTGAGCTCGGCGTTGCTGGAGGTGGTGGAGCAAAAGTACAAGAAGTCCTCGACGACCTGGAGTGTGAAGTCACCAATGGAGATGCTTGAGGTGCTGCTCATTTCTTGGCCCATGATGTTGTTCTTGTTTAGCCTGATAGTGAAGCCAAACACGCTATACACGTGGGCGAAGAGGTCGATGAGTCGCTGAAGCTCCTCTTCGGAGTGAGCCGGCAGAGCTGACTTGTCTGCAAGGAGCATCTCGAGTATGACAACCTGTCGCACTTTGGTTTTGGCACAATGTTGGACTAGAGTGGAGAAAATGCCATCGCTTCTGTGCATGTATATATTTTGGAGATACGTTGCATTCATCGACCTCACCAAGGCCCCTGACCTGGTCAGCAGGAAAGGCCTTTTCATTCTTCTACAGAAGATTGAATGTCCCTCTAAGCTTCTGAGGATAATCACATCTATTTATGAAGACATGCAGGGCACCGTCCAGTACGATGGATCTTCCTCGGACCCTTTCCAATCAAGAGCGGAGTGAAGAGAGGCGGTTGTATGAGCAGAATTTCCAATTAGGCTTAGCAGTAAGTTATTTGAAAAGAATTTTCTCTTCTCTTCATGCGTGGTTATGAGTACTTGTAGTTTGTAGGTAACAGATCGTAAAACAAGACAGTTTTGGCATTGAGACACCATGCAACTACATCGATCCAGACATTTCAGTTCCAAGAGTGGACGCAATCAGTCCCACAGTTGATAAACAAAAAGTATCTTTATCTAGCTGGTGAAAAGCCTCCGAGAACTGTCTGTTTGTTTTTCTCTTCCTGCTTGCTCCGTTACGTTGTTCTATAACAGTGCGGTAGGTAATGCTGCGCAACCCTCTTAATTCTTTTACATCTTCGTTTTGATATGCTACGATTCTTGATCCATATTTTTGAGGGTCCCCTTGGGGAACTTCAGAAGGGTTCATTTTTTTTTTCTTAGCTCTAAAGTATTTATTATGTTATTCCCTTTAATTGCTATCATTGTCTTACGAGGAAAGATTATTTTTTTTCAATTTAAAGTATTTAATTACATAACTTGTACGAAATATACTGTACGTGTGACAGAAAATTGGTAAATTAGATTATCATCAAGATAACCGTTTGAAAGTGGTATTAGAGTCATTGAAATGGTTAGCTTATCACTGTGTGAGACATAAGAATTGTTATGTCAGTGTTGGTGTAAGCGGTAAAAATTTTCTTAATTTATTGCATTATTCTTGGAGAACTAACTATTTTCCGTTATCGAAAAAAATATTCTTGCAGTGTGAAACCTAACATTCAGTAATTTTAGGTCGAGCTTACCCAAAATTCGTATTTTGGGTAAGCATTTAAGTATTTTACTGGAAAATACACTACTCGTAAATTTCATACCAAACCACATCCGGGCCGTCGGGTGGCGTATTTTCCATATCCTCACTAGTGAAGATATTGATGACTTCACTGATATCAAGTTGACCCCTAAAACTACTTAGATTTGTTCATGTATGTTCGAAAAATCTTCGGGCTTTCCTCGAAAGTCCTTGGTAATCTTCGGTTGTCTTCGGGAATCTTCGGAAATCTTCGGAAATTTTCGGAAAATGTTCACACTAAAACGCTTTAATAAAATCCAACAATATATATATATTTCAGCGGTCGTGTTCACGGGGATCAGTGTACTGATCAAATTTTATTGCTAGTTCCATCTCACTGCACCAAGATATATCCTGTGGCTGTTTGATCTTGGTTTCCAAACGTGCTAGCATCGTTATGTAGCCCTCCCGTTCCAAATCCAATTCTGGAGTCAGAAGTTGCGCAGTCATTTTCGTTGTTTGTAATGATACCGATTCGAGCTTTACCCATCGAAGCGTTATCGCTGAGTATGTTGAAACCCTCTCTGTTACAATTGGGTAGCAAGAAGCCATATGAACCCATCAGCGATATCCATGAGTCGCGGCCCAGCGAGGTAAGGCGTATTTGGCCATCAGCGATCAGCGAGTACAGAGAACTAGCCTGCTTGTTCACGACAATGAATTTGATTTGCTGGCTGATCTTCATACCGAGACAGATCTTTGAGAAGGGTGTGTTCCAGTAGGTTGGTAACTTGGCCTCTTGAGTGTCAAACCCAGTCTCCCACGCTGGTGTGTTGTAGGAATTTGTGTTGCTCCAGTATGCTGAATTGTAATGAAAGGTGCTCTGAGAAAGATCACATGAAAAACACCACTAAAAATAATGTTTTATATTGCCTAGAAGAGCCGGAGGGGAACCCACGGGGGTATCGCAAAAGAGGGAAATACCAGCACACCTGGAGGCGTACAAGAATGGCAGAGTTGCTGGAAGTGCAATGCAGACAAAGGACATACAAAGAATCAGTTTGATAAATGTTATACCTTGTTTCCATCCATTTTCATGACCGGCGTCCATCCCCCATCTCCACATCCAAAGTCTCCCATATGACAGTAAACTGTAGTCATTGTTGAACCAAGAAAAAGAGTAACCACCTGATCTTGGTTTGATCTGTAATTCCAGACAGAGACCGTGCAAACATTACTTCGAAAACTTGTAGGTTTCAGGAGTCGAACATTGAAAGATTTTAGCCCAGTCTAAGAGTTCCATCTGTGTGTCATGTTTAGTTTGCGTTACCGTTCAAATCTAGTGAAAGCTATTGTGGTCTTCTACGCTTGAGCTTCTCCGAATTCGTAATCATGATGCAATTTTGCAAACCTTCCATGTTTATAAAGATGTTTTTCGAAACAAAATGTAACGTGTCCAGAGCCCGATGCATAGTTCTCTCAACTCCTAAAACTGTAAACCTCAAAAAAGTTACCAACGAAAACATTTCTAACCCAAAAATCCTCCGAGAAAGATTTTGGTAACTTCCCGCCTCTATTTTACAGGATTACTCCTTTCTAGAGTGTAAAAAAATGTTCACGACTCTGTTGGCCAAAAACGTCAAAAGAATGGTCGAGGCTGGAAGGTCACCAAAAAAATGATGATTTTCTTTGACTTCAGAGTCCAGTTAACGCTATAGTTGAGCTCTCTTAAGACAAATTTTATAAGATCGACTTGTTATTATAATTGACGTACTTGGATATGTCATGCGCGTCCTGACATGACCTCAGCACTGAAAAAGATAAAATGTCAGCTTAGTTAAAATCGTATTTGGGGTGGCGGTGTTAATTAAGGGTTGTTACTGTATTGCACAGCAAATTAAGCGATGGTGTTGGTTTGTAAGTAAATTAAAGGTGCCTAACAGTTGAAGAAAGGAGACATATCTGCTGATATCACAAATGAACAACTCTTTGTCAAGTGAAGTCTTTGTTTTGCATGAATTATTGTCTATCGATAGTTACTACATTCGCAACCGTTGGGCAGAAATGAAACTATAAAAAAAAAAAAAAAGCTTTATTTAAAACTGAAAGACCGATCAGCGAAGTCCGGGAGGAAGACGCTGGTATTATAGAGCGAAGTCCGGGAGGAAGACGCTGGTATTATAAAGCCTTCTCACTCACGAGGCCAGCAGCCATGCAAATTTATTGAAACAAAAATAAGTTTCTACATAAGAAAAGAGTTTAACTCCCACAGGACAAGTTTGGGACACCAACCTGGCCGCCGTTTCATAGTTTTGGAACACCAATGTGGCTGCCGTGACGTCATGTGAAAACGCCTTATTTTTTAGCGCCAATGACAAGCCTGAGTGTAAGCGTTGAGTTATCGGATGACCCCAGGGATATTGCAAAATTTTATGCAGTTGTTTTGAGAAAGATTTGACAAAAAAGGTGTAAAAATAAAGCGAAGCAATGAGGCATTTTATATATTCCGAGAACTGCATTCCTTGATCATCCATTCACTGCGATGTCTTATATACATATTACATGTCGATGAAACACTGTGAACTACTAAATTCTATCCAAAAACGGTAAATTACCCTTACCCATAATTTCGTTCGGCACTGTGGCACAAGGACAACCTCTCTCAAAACAGCTGTAGTCAGTGTGGTATTCAATTGTGGGAAAATTAGTGACGAAAAAGTACGCGATGTACTGTCAGAGATGAGCAACAGAACATGGGTGGAGTACTTACTAGTTTGACAGTGCACTCCGCCATATCCATCTTGGCAGTTACAGAGATATTCATTAACTTGGTCAACACACGTTCCTCCGTTTAAACAGGGATTACTGAAACATTCGTTGATATCTGGGTGAATTAAATCAGGAATTAACGCGTGTATCAAGTTGCACGCACAGAACTTTTATGAGTTCTTTAATATAAGCAGTACATAACTGCAGTGAACGTTTTGAAGCTTTTTGATTGTTTCCAATATGAAAAGCGATAAAAGTACGTCAAATGTAAATTGAGGACAGACTGTGTGACTTACACGACCTTTCGAAGAAAACACAGTCGTGTTCAAAACCAAGAACTTTGAATTCCTTCTCCCGTGTGAGTTATGTACCTGAGCGTATCGTGCGATCATGAAGTTAACGGCTTTCCTAAAAATATATTTCTTTTTTCCTGTTTCCCAGATTCTCAGGAGCAGAATTAAGTTTGCAAAGTCGATTCAATGCTTTTTCAGAAGTTTAAATTGAACATGAACCTCATCTCACCTGTTTCGCAATATCTTCCATTGTAGCCGGGAGTGCAGTCACAATAATATTGATTTTCACCGTAATTGGGAACGCACTTTGCACCGTTTCGACACGGAAAACTTGAGCATGGTGTCTGTAGAAAAAACGCTCAGTAAATCGATTTGAAAAGCAGCAAAACAAATAAAAATTGTCAAGAAATAAATAAGAGTACCGAAAAGCGTGAATTTTTCAAATAAGGTTCATGAATTTTGGGCCTTTACTTCATTACGCTTACGCTGTGCTACATAGTCAACAATGTTGGCCTGGTCTCGTAAGTAATCATAAACTTGGAAGAAAGATTATTACAATTTAATAGCATCTTGTATGTAGAGCTAACGGATCTAGTGCAGTCCGTAATTAACGCCTCATTTCTGCAAAATCTACCAGGTGCAAATTTTTTGTTGCCGGTGGAAGACACATTTAGCAATTTGAACTAATTTGTTAAGGTAGGTTGTTTCAATGTTGTGGGCAACCTACCGGGTGGTCAAATAAATCGCCGCGAAACACAATTTCATTCAAACCCGTCATGTTTCAGTACTGTTTTTAGATTCCTTTTTATATTCAAAACTAAAACCAAAAAAAAAAAAAAAATTAAAAACGTAAAGTGAGTTTCATAATTGCAACGCAGGACTATTTCTTTCTTCAATTCTGTCAAAACCGAAGGGCTTTAAAATTTAGCAAAGTTAATTGGTTTAGTCAACTTGTATACATTTCTAGTGGAGGCTGCATGCATGCGCGTTGATTGTCAACGGTTACCAAGTGAAAAAAGCCAGTAGACGAATTAAAGAAAAAATATCTCCACCGTTTTATTCAGAGCCGGCTGAAAAGACAGGCTTGTTGAACTATTAAACGGAAAGGCCGTGCAGTTGGTGTCAGTTTAGTTGCAAGGTTTTTATATTCTTTAGTTACTGAAATAAAATTATTCAAAACAGTGCTTAAACTGTTATGTATGACCATCACCTAGATTAAAAGCGTGGAAGCATTCCTTTCTTATTTGTGGTAATGCTTACTTTTCTAATAATCGTTCACAAATGGCTTAGGATTTTCAAGTTTAGCTGTATAGGGGAAACCTTGAAGAAGGTCCTTATACCTTGATGCTGTAATGATGGTGTTCTTGCGAGCTGACAAGCTGGCCTGGGTTCGCAGAATACTTGTCTTCGTTTAACAATTCACATCGGTATTTTCCGTCTGAACCAAGAGACGAGGCCACATTAAACGAAGAACATGGCGGCGAGTTAACACAGCTCAGAGCACATTCTCTGTAATTGCTCACAACACTTGATGAACCAACTGATAATTGAAGACGATGAAACTTGTCCATTGCAAAATTGCCGTACGAAGCACGATTTCCCTGCACATAAACTCCTCGCTTTAAACCAGGGCTTCCGTCAAGTTGACTTTGTTCGGCCCTTGGAGGAATTACGAGAAATAAAGCAAAGAATGGAAGATAAAGCTGCATTTTACACCACATTTCAGATCATGGAAAATCTTCCCCCTCTGTAGTGCATAATGTATCGACGGGAGGCCGAAATAGCTTCTTTAGAAAATTGAATTGAAAGACCTTCAAAGAGTCTACATATAGATGTGGAAGCACCTGCACAGTTAAATAATTTCAGTATTTACCGCCATTTAATGCTACAAAACAATTTCTTTCTCGATTGGTTATAATGAGACCCTTTGTTTCCTCTCGTATTGCTTACCAAATGGAAACGCATACAAAATGAGTGAGTGTCCAATGAGCGTTTACGTGGGTCGAAGAAGATATAATACAAGGCATAAACCGGTCGAAGATAATCATATTTTCCAATAATCGAAATGTGATAACATTCAGAGGAAAAATCATTTGAGCCAATCGCAATGAAGTAATTTTTCCACTGATATATTAAGCTTACTGGTTAAACTTGTTTGTACTGTAATGCATGTTTGAACACGGCAATTTAACGACTTATTATACCTAACGTAGATTGCAAGAAAAGGTACGTTTTAATCTGATAACGTACATTCGTCAATCAATAATTTATCTCAATTTGTAGTATCCGAGCTATCATAAATTGAAAGCCCTTACTTGTATGCGGCGCCTGCTACCGCAGTACGGCTGGCGGTCAATATCGCACTTTATTATATGGCTCTGTCTCACAAGGACTGGGAACTACCAAATTCACGAATTTGATTGGTTGAAATCTTTATTGAAAGCGATCTAGATTTTCCCATCTAGACCGGCATCTAGACCGGTAATGCTTTGCAGTGAAAAAGTCGCAAACTAAAATACAAAATCATTGACCATTTTCATCTAACAATATTTATTTATGGAAGTGCTAAAAAGCCTGATAAGAAAAAAATAAATAAATAAAGAGGACGAGCAAACTTTGGCAGAATTAAATTCAGCTCATCGCCGTTCGCAAGCAAAATGTCAGTTAGTACAAACCAGCTTGATCTTGTTTGTGCCATATAATAAACATCTTATTAACCGAGCAGGAGGTCTGTATGGGAGAATCTTGACCTCGGTCGTGTGTACAGACCTGACTGCGTTCGGTCTGTACTCACGACCTCGGTCAAGATTCTCCCATACAGACCTCCTGCTCGGTTAATAAGAGCTAAATGTTATGGAAACGGTCATGGGCGGAAGAGACGGTTTTTTTCTTCGTTGCTCACAAATAAAAACAATGATAAGTTTGTTTAATTTAGCCTCTTGCAATATTTGATGGAGCTACATTATGGTTTCCACAACTTGAAAAATTTGCCTCAATTTTTCAAGTTCGTCGTTTGTAATTCGTGTTAATCTTCTCCTTCCTTTGATCCTTGTTCCTTTGTGGCTTAGTATCTCTTTGGTGTTTTTCTATCTTAGTAAACTACCATTTCAGGTTGCCTTCAATTTTAAGGTGATTATGTACGCGACCAAAACAACTCAAGATGTTATGACTGAGTTCCTTTAGCTCGGAAACTCTGGGTTTAACTTAAGGATCAGGAACGAAAAATGTATTCGGAGCAATTTTTTTCAGGATAACCACAAATTTATTAGCTTAAAGACAATCTGTGATGGTGCCGGGTATTTTCTTGGATTTTCAATGCAGTCTCCGGTGAGNGGAAGAGACGGTTTTTTTCTTCGTTGCTCACAAATAAAAACAATGATAAGTTTGTTTAATTTAGCCTCTTACAATATTTGATGGAGCTACATTATGGTTTCCAGGAACGAAAAATGTATTCGGAGCAATTTTTTTCAGGATAACCACAAATTTATTAGCTTAAAGACAATCTGTGATGGTGCCGGGTATTTTCTTGGATTTTCAATGCAGTCTCCGGTGAGAAAAGTGATCTCACTTCAATGCCTTTTCTTTCATTTTAAAAGACATGTGGGGCTTTTCAGACTTTTCATGCGCGGCTTTCAGATTCGGTCAACGTTAATTAAAATTAATTCGGGAGGACTTTTAATTTACGTTAAGCTCGCGTCATACAGAAGTAAGAGACTGGTTTCGGCCATTAGTCAAAGACACAAATGACAACTCTACGTTGAGGTGAGTGAAATTCATTAGTACATTAATAGACTCATTTTAGCATATCGTGGACTCAAGAGAATTTTCCCTACAACGAAACTTTCGTTGCGTACCAGTTACTCACATACCGTAAACTTCCTAAAGTAACGACCCGCGGGTTACTTTCGGGATTTATTAGTGACCACAATAACTGAACGTTACTTTCGGGGAGTCGCTACTTTCCGGGGGTCGGAGGGGTCCAACAGTTTCAGAAGTTTACAGTAATCTACTAACTACAGTGAAAGCTGTATTGCCGGACAACCTTAATCCAAGAACAGCCAATTTGTGTACTATACATGACGTATACATCGGTACCTTGGAAATTACCGCTGATCTCCACTTATCAAAGAGAAAGTGGAAGTGAAATAGTTTGTTATGAGTTACATTGCCCTAAATGAATCATAATGGCAGTTACCTGTCACTGGTAGCTTCTCCATTCGTATCCTTATGGAATACACTATACTTTGTGTTTGTAACTTTGCTCTGGTCAAAATTGTTCGGCACTAAAAAGAAGAAGGTAAACAGATCACATCGATATCAAGTCACACGAAGTTCATACATGGCCTCTCGGTCTCCTCGAGACAGGGGACCTTGCAAATCTCAAAACTCCGTGGATGAAAGCGACGAGGGGTTACCAGGAGAAATAGTTAGTCTTCGAGCACATCATAAGCAAGCTTATGGATACATTGCGAAGGCTTTGCAGATAGATGAGGAAGGAGGTAAAAATGTTGAAAGTTTAAGGCGCTTATTATGAAGTTTGAACTTTTATGTAAGCTTACATGTAAGGGTCCGATTAAGTTAAATCAACTCTACCTCTTCACTTTTATAAGCTCGGAAACACTGGTGTTTTGCAATGAATTAAACTGGATTTCATCTGCAATAATCTCTGAACATGATTGTCTGTATGTACATGACGTATGTGAAATGTTTTGCTTAAACTGCAGAATGCAAAATTAGGATCACTTATTTGCATCTCACGATCATTGATGCGTGAATTGGTCTGTAACAAGTTATGTTGCTATTATAATGATTATTATAAATGGTTATAATTATTTTTACTTGTCATTTTTAATTGGGTAGAAATTCACATTACATTGCTATGCATGAGCAAATAATGTCATCTGTTCTGATGACTTACTCTTGAAAGAGACAACTTAATCTTGAATAGTGAGAGTGCTAAAAAAAATCATTTGCTCTCTAATGACAAAATGATACTACCTCAAAATCTGATTAATGATTTTGACTGGTTAACTTGGAAACTATTTGTTTAATTGTGATGTGTTAAATGTGACCACTTTTAGCACAGACTGTCGTGGCAATCAAGTCTGGATGCACTCAGACTAGATTCAACTGTACATGCATGTGAAATTTTGAGAGAAGACATTTACATTTATATTTGAGTATTTAAACAACTGTCACACATTGTACGGTGTAAATAAGCTGTTTAATTTTTTTGTCTGGCTTTATGTGCTTACTTATTTATAGCATGTGTATGAAGAGATGTATTTATAGATGTTATTAAGGCATATGTGTAAGGTTATATTGGCCTGAACTTGTTTTGTACTGTACTATTTAAAGGAGGCCTGGCAACAAAGAAACGAGCTGTGGATTTTTACAAAAAAGGAATAAATGAGTTGGAGACTGGTCTTCAAATAAGTTGTGATGAAGAAGGTACTTGTGTATTATTTAATGCAGCTAAAAAGAATTTCGCTGAAGATAGAGTTGAGTCAATAAATATGCAGTGGAAGTTCACACTGTTGCATAAGGTAACTAGGGTTTCTGACATGACTTACTCATTTCTTACCTACACTAAACAGAGCCATGGTGGCCTTATGGTTAGCGTCCAGGACTTCACATTGAGTGATCCAGGTTCTGTTCCTGGCTGGGGTTATTCTTTTGTGTTCTTGGGCAAGACATTTTCTCTTGCTGTGCCTCTCTCCACCCACATGTATAAATAGGTATGGGCCAGTAATAATGCTGGGAGGGGGTGGGGGGTAACCCTGCAGTGGACTAGCATCCCATTTGAGTGGACAGGAATACGTGTAGAAATACTCCTAGTTGTTTTTAAGTGCTACAGGAACAAGGATAAGCAGGGACTGTATGGGCCCCTGGCCCAAATGTAGACTTAATCCACTAAACAAATGTATCTCACTCAGTAAATTATAATTCTTGTAGTACCTCATGAGAGTTTCAAATATTGCTTATGGTTTGATGCTACAGTCAAGCACAAGAACATACAGTATCATAGTTTGTAACTGCAGTAGTACAATGTATCTAAAATTTCACATGTCATTTTTTACAGGTGAGGAATGGCAGAAAGCACGAAAACTTCAAGATAAAATGAAATCAAACCTGAAGAATACAAGAGAAAGATTAGATGAATTAGGTATGTGCAGCTCAATCCATTTTCTGTAGAATAATGAACGGGCCAAGCAAGGAGGCTGGAAGGCCAGGGTTCAGAGAGGGGGCCTGCAGCACTGGGGGCATTCTCGTCCCCAGTGCTACTCGTCTTAAAATGTTGTTGACGAGTAGCTCTGGACGCACCCAAAAATTCGAAGTTTTTCATTGGCTGACAAAAAATGAATGCGCAGCAGAAATGAAAATTATAAAGCTTTACGCATTCCATTTTACTTCCGGCCCGGATGGCGGCACCTTCGCTCAGTTGACACAGGCGCGCTTTACGAAAAAACAAATGGTGACCTTTCCCGATCGA